AGTGGCATACAACCAACAATCAAGGCAGAGCCCCAATATATGGCTTTGCACAAGTGGTGGAAAGGGGGGCTGGCCTGCTGGCTGCATACAATAGTATAATGAATCTAAGGTTCTCCCTTAGATCCTCATAGGCTTATATACATGTGGGGCTGGACCCTGGTCACTCTAACTAAAGTGTACCTACTAGTGTTCTAGCAGGCTACATGTGGGAAAACTATGCCAGAACCAGTAAGGGCTCTGGCAGCAACTATGGCAACTATCTACAAAGGCCGTGGATATGCCGAGGTAATCCTATCTAATCCAATGAGATAGTTGCTACAAAGTGGTGCTACTATGTGAGCGGCAAAGTGGTGCCACTATTGAGTGGCCAATGGGATGCCACTATCTTGAGTGGTGAATTGGATGCTTGCTAGCTTGATGGTCCAATGGGTTCCTTTTTGAGCAAGTGGCCTGGTGTCATGTGACCAATGCCTGACAACTTCTAAATAGGGCAAGTGATCAGTGTCACGTGACTGGGTGGCTGAATCATGGGCACTTGATGGTCAGATAGACACAGTTATATCTGCAATATATGTGGCAGTATTGTGCTGTTTGTCCAAGTATTCACTTTGTGAGACCAATATGAAGGTTGGTGTCTGAGTAACCACTCAAATGAGGACTTTAATGGTGCAAAAAGAAAGGTGCGACTTAATATTGTGACAGCCTGTCTGGTGAGTTCCATTTGCCACTTCCTCTTGCTTTTGCTGATTGTTGTTGCCTGCTAGTGTCATCACTGCCTGAAGTCCGAAAAGGTGATGCAGACATGTATCCTCAGTGAGTTCGAACTGATGTGCTGCAAGTGCCATCATGACCATAAGGCTTGTGTCTGGTGGTCACCTTCGACTGCCTTTGACTTAAACGATGATTCTGGTTGGGTCAGACTAGATGCGATCTATCATCAATGCCATTGACCATTGCCATCTGCTGTTGATAAGGATGTGGCCCTCAAGGTGGCCTCTCTACAAATGGCCTATGACAAAGAGCAGTGCAAGGCCAACTGCGAGGGCTCTGCTCTTGCTAGGTGACTCAGCCTTCCCCAGGATACTCCCATCAGCAGCTATGAGGAATGTCTACCTGTGCCCCCACAGCTCCGTGAGTTTCTTTCTCACATTCTATCTTTTTCTAGTGCATTCTGCTAACATCCTCTTTACAAGGCTCAGCACTGATCATCTTGGCTGAGGAGAAGGCTGTATCTGCTGCTGTGAGACTCAAGAAAGAGAGTAAGAAGCCAGGCAAGAAAGAGCTGGCCCCTGCTAGCTGTACGTTGAAAATTCTGCTGTGTCGCTTTGGTATGCGACTCTCCACCCACTTCATGCATGCGCTAACTGATTTTACCTTGACAGATCTCGTCACCACTCGCACCTTCAAGTGTGCTCACAGTAAGGATTCAGAATCTGAGCTCGAGCACTTCTGAGTGCCACCTGAAGAGCCCAAGGCCACCATGTCATTCAAGATGAAGTCGTCGAAAGGCAAAAAACATGTGAAGGGTCCTGCTGCCACATCCTTGTCAAAGTCAGCCATTGTTGATACATCCCTGGCCTCCGTCACTGCTAAACATGATGAGCTGCAAATGCATCTCTCCACGACTATGTCACAATTCGATCTGTTGCTTCAAGGTTTGCAGAAGATGTCTGAGGACAACCACAAGTTCCTTGGGTGCAAGTAGCTGGATTCGAGTGTCTTTGCAGGTGGACTGGTGCAGTGATGCCTTTGGGCTTTGCCACGGCATGTTTTCTGTATACTGTATCTAGTGTTCCACTTCTTCACGTGCACGGAGCAATGTACTTGTTGTTTCTTGTTGCGAAATCTATATTGCTTGTTTGAAATCATTGACATGACTTGAATAAGAAAAATGATGCATTAGAATAGACTTGTAGTTGAGAGTCGTGCTAGCTTTTCTTAAATAAATGAAGAGAATTATTTTGGAAAATGGTATATAGCATGTTGTTGATTCTTGGTTGGGGTCTACTTTTCACCGTCGTTAGATTCTTCTGCCTGCTGGTCTTCTACTTCACTTCCCTATTCTTCTCCACCATCTTCTGTGTCAGGTTCTTCCTCTCCTTTGTCCTCCACTTGACTCATTTCCTTGAGTTGGAACTTTGATGCATCTAACATTTCCTCAGATATTGTAATTTTCTTTCTTGTCACGACAAATACCATACAGAACGCCACTATTGGTCTGTCAAAAACTGCTCCATCTAGCTCAGAGAGCACGTACGCTCCTCCCTGATTGCGGAATAACACAACGTATGGCCCAATATACCACGGTCGCATTTTTCGATTAAGCACTTTTTTGATCTGAGTGTGCCATACTAGGACTAGATCTCCGTGTTTAAAGTCAAAGTTCTTGATCATTTGTCCATGTACCCATTCAAAAGGTCTCACCGCTGCTCTTCTAGCCTTGTAAACAGCATTGTGAATGCATGCAACTTGTTCTTGACATTTTTGTAGTGCCTCTGCTCGACTGGCAATCAGGTTCATGGTGGTTACCATTTCGACTGGTGCCGGAATCAAATAGGTTGCTTCGACTATATTGAGTGGTAATATTGGTTGGGTACCAGTGACAGCAAAATAGGGTGAGCATCCCATGTGTCTTCTGATGGTTACCCTCTCTGATCAAAATACAGAGTGAGCTACCTGGCTCCATTTGTGTTCTTCACCATCGACAGCCTTGAATAGGCCCTGCCTTATGTCGAAATGTCGATGTTCAACTATTCTATTTGTGCATGAGTTATAGCCACTGATCTGGATGTGCTTGATATGGTACTTCTTTTCCAGATAGGCTACGGCTTTCACGAACGGAGCTCCATTGTCTGTTACGATTTCTGACAGTGCTTCCTATTAACAGAGGATGTCTTCGAAGATTCAATCGCCAAGTGCTTTCACAGTCTCCACTCAGAGCATTTGAAACTTGGGGTAGTGCATAAGCGAGCATTGTCCTTGCACAATATATTTAAATCTGTTTGAGGGTGGCATGTGCATTGTATCGATATATATTTTTGCGAAGATTGGCGCTGGTATTGCAACAGTCAGCGGGATCAGGATTTGATGAACTTATTGTTTCTAATATATTTTGCAGGTTCTGATGAACTATGCAATGTCTGCACCAATGTCTGGCCACCAAAATCATTCACACACAGCTGCCTGAGTTGAAAAAATGCCTCAGTGACCCAGTTCATTGTGCGCTCTGGCTAGAATATTTAGATAATATTCAGGTAGGACTACTAGCTTGTGTGATTCCTGAGCATCCTTTTGCCATAGTTGACCATCCCGCTTGAAGAAGTGCACTGCATATTTGAGCATGTGATTGTACTTTCTCTCGATCAGATCTACTGGCTTCTGCAGTGTCTCTAGCCAGTCGATGATCCAAGCGATCAGTTTATCATTCCTTCTGGCTCTTGCTGATTATAAAACATTGGCATAGGGTATTGGGCTTTGTTCTGCCATTGACTCCATTCTGTTATCCACCTGTGCTGGTAGTGCAAAAATAGCTTGAGTGTCTAAATCCTCCCCCGTTATGAACAATTGACCATCCTCGGTCACTGGCATAGGACTTATGTGTTGCGATAGAGAAAGTATGTGATGAATGAACCTATGTATCTGATCCACCCAATCGTCAAACTCTGCATCCTCGATTGGTTCTGGCAGTGGATCCTCTGGCTGTCTAGGTCGACGCAATAGATTGTCTGGTCCATGCATTATTTCTGATACGTGGACTAGCTTGAATTGGTACATCAGGATGGCAATGACCCAATGATTAATACTTGTGCTGGGTGCAATATCAGGTTTCTGCAACATTTCCTTGATGTATTTTGCGTCTACTTCAATGATGAGATTCTGAACACCAATCAAGTAGACCTTGAGTGCTCAGAGCATGCGGTACAGTCCGTACAATTCTAGTTTTGGCTGCAAAAATCATCTTTCATGATCATTGAGCATGATCGGGCGAAACCTGTTGAAGTATCATTTCTTCAATCTGTCATTCGCACCCTGACACAGTTGATATCCAACTGCAATCGGAGAGGTGTCTACTGCCAGAATAATGAGTGTCAGAGAATTGTAGTCAATTGCATGCAATGCAGGGGACTTCAATAGAGCTTGTTTCAAGTCTTCCATCACTGTGAGCTGAGGTTCTCTGAACTCAAATGGAACTCCTTTCCACATGAGCTGTACTAGTGAGTGAGCTCTTTTTGCAAAGTCCTTGATGAATATTCTTGCTACTCCAATTGTGTCTAGGAAGGCTCGGACCTCCAAGAGATCTTTGCATGGACCCCAATTCTGAACTGTCCATATGTGAGATTCATCTGGTAGACGTCCTTCAGGAGTGCATCAATATCCAACCATCATAATTTCTTCTGTGCAGAGCATTAGCTTCATACCTGAGAACATTCCACCTGTATACTCCATGCACTGCACGACTCTGTTGAGATTCTGGAAATGTTTCAGATGAAGCATCAAATGTCATTGTTGCCTGCGATCATTTCAAATGTCCCGTCCAGCCTTTTGTACCTAGTCGCTGAGCCCTTGACTGGAACGTCGTCAATATATGACACCATGTAGGTGGTTATCTCTGCTTGCAAAATGTATATCACATCATCATGGAATATTGGAACTGAATTAGTCCATCCCATTAGAAGGGTCACCAACTGCAACACTCCGAATGGCATTTGAAATGTCATAAAATCACACGAGGTTTCCGCTATAAGTCACTCATCATATCCAACATAGAGGTCCAGCATTGCACCACATGCCCGACCACCAAACTGCTCTGCCAAGTGCTCTGGAGTCAGAGTGATTTCTGAGTGCTGAATTATGACTGCATTGAGCAGTTTCAGGCTGTGAACCAGTTGCAGGGATTTTCCGTCCTTCTTGACTACACAGAACCATCGAGATTGATAGGATGAGTTCAACAGCTCATATACTCACACCTTGAGCTTCTGCTTGATGATTGCACAGACTTCTTTGTAGATTCCTGGCAGGATCAGAATATTTCACTCGACCCAAGGCTTATGCGGGATTACTGGGAAGTTGATAGGTGGGAAGTATTCTGCCTTGATGCTTCCCCTCTCTGAATCTCCCCATGCAAATGCTCAATTGTGTAGGCACATAAAGGCATGCATCAACACTCATTCTTCCAGCCACAAGAATCCTGGCTTGTGCGTGACGTCTAACACCTCTATTCGCTCTTTCATGTATTGTCCTGTCAGAATAAATGGTCCTGGCTGCTCGGGTAGCTTTGGTAGACCTCGCAATGGATCTCCTACTATTTTGCACATGATCCTGAATTATTCTGGTCGCAACGTGATCACCAGTTTCATCTTGAGTGCCATCGATTTATACTTTTTCTTTGTGGCTGCGTACGTGGCCTTTGCACTTGATTCTGAGGTGAATGCTAGCCTGGTCATTGATCACAGCAGCTGCATGATCATGGCCTTCATGCTGGGTATGACACCTGAGGTTGCTGTGTATAATGAGAATGCTGCATCGGGAACCTGCCCCGATGCTCACAGATGGATGGACTGAACTGAAATGGAATCAGAAGATATGACTGGGGAATAGGCTGATATCATTGGGATGTCTGCATTGCTTACATCGATGGTTAGGGCCATTCTGTCACTTTCAGTATTCATATCCTCCATTAGCAAAAACCCATATCTTTCTGTTGATATTGTGGTGCCCTTACTTGGGGCAGTCCTCTTGGTATGGTGGGAATGGTCACTACTCTCTCCATGTTTAGGCATACAATCATCACCGTTTGGTTCTCATTGAAGAAATTGTGCACAATGCTCTTGTTAAGCACATCAAACAGATGTCCGAGTAGAATGTCATAGGCTGCCACCCAAATGACGTAAATCTGGAGATAGAGGACTATTTCCCCAACTTGGAATGGTATGTTGCACACTAGGCTGAGTGACTGATCAACTTCTCCATTTGCTGATTGCATATTGAGCTTGATGATAGAATCATAGATTAGTCTGAGTGAATGACACACATTCTCTGACATGGCTGCAATCTGATAACCTGGGTCTAGTACGACCTCCACTCACTCCTTGTTGTCAACTAATGTGACTATCGAGCGAAGCACATGTGAGTCCTTTGCAACTGTTAGCTGCTCTGTTCATCTCCATTGTGAATGTGCTTCAAATATGCATCATAAGGATCAGGGATGATGGAGCTGGTGGCCACTAAAGGCTCTCCATGACAGGTGAATTTCTCCTTCTGCCCGACTGCTATTGCTTCATCTTTGGCTGATTCTAGGATTGATGCCATTTCTGCAGCACTCGGGGATATGACGTGCTTGGGTCTACATGCTTCTCGGTATTTGTTTCATATGTCTGACAATATTGAAAGCAGTTCTTCCATAGACAAGCTTACTGATAATGCCTTCATCGACCATTCAAAAACTGTATTTGC